CATAAACTGGGGATCTGGATGGAAACTGATTGGTGGATCGTGTTTTAGGGACACGCGACTCGCTGGTATTACCACATTGATCAACACACCGAGGTGCCACACCAGAGGGCCCGAGGTGCCACACCAAGGGGCCCGAGGTGCCTCACCAGGGGGCCCGAGGTGCCACACCAGGGGGCCCAAGGTGCCTCTACCAGGCACGCCTCATAGATTCCGCAGCAGACAGATGGTGTTCACTAGACTTAAGATTTACTCCCTCCACGCCCACAAAATTCACTTTCATATTTCATCACACACACACACACACACACACACACACACACACACACACACACACACACACACACACACACACACACACACACCCTCTGTCAAACAATAATCAGATATAAAAGCAGTTATAGATACTCTTATTTTTGAGGTAATCAAATGACACGTCTTCCTATGTTTCTATGCTTGCTTGTTATCTCTCTCTGGCCTGGTAACCCGCGAGGATACAGTGTATCCTCAGGGATACAGGACAGAGGATACAGTGTATCCTTGGTGATTACCAGATGGGAAAGATAAAAAAGCAAGCAAAGACACATAGAAAGAGGTGTCTTTGTAACCAAGAGCCAAGAGAATGGAACAGTGCCGATAGCTGTGCCTTAGAAAGGTGAAGATATCATGACAGGAGCAGTGACAGGAAGACTACAAAGGGTGTTGAGCCCAGCGACTAACAGGAGGCCTAGACAGACCCATAGTTACATGTCAGCTTGGACCTTATTTGTCCCATACGTAAATGAAACATATACAAAAGTACGATTCGAGCAGATGAAAAGATTCCGGAGCTATGTGTAAAGTCATTTTTCGTTCACAGACCAATTGGGGTTTGGGCCGGATTAGCGAGCATCTGGCCTGTGGCTATAAGGACCATCTGGACACAAAAGGTGTAAATTTGGAGAAGTTTGGTTCAGTGGAGCCCACAAACATTGCTCGGAGCTGTGAACCTCGGCTCCACCGCTCGCCCTCTTCCGAAGCAGTTCAGTGGGGCGCATCGAAGTCTTACACACTCGCGCAATGTGAGGAAAACTGTCATCTCCTGAAAGCTGTGGCTGCTCCGTGACGATTGATGATTGATTGATGAAGATTAAGCCACCCAAAAGGTGGCACGGGCATGAATAGCCCGTAAGTGGTGGCCCTTTTGAGCCATTACCAGTATCAAGAGCTGATACTGGAGATCTGCGGAGGTGCGACTGCACCCTGCGTGACGGGAGATGTTTCCCGTCGGCTCCGTGACAGAGGCGATGGTCATATATCTCTGGGATGGGGAGGAATGGGATAGGAGGGGAGATAAGAATGGAATGGGTGAGGGGGGAAAGGTGAGAGGGGCGAAATGGAATGGGTTTGGTGTTAGGGAGCAGGAGGGTGACGACACAGGTGTACTAGTGGTCCATTTAACGTTGTGTCACTCATGTGTCCGAGATGACCACTGACATATATACATATGTGTCCCAGATGATCACTGACACACATATGTGTACTCAGCTATTTGTATTAGCAGGGTTTGAGCTCTTGGACCCCGTCTTTCTAGCCTAATGCAGCATATCTCCTGATCTATTTTCCTCTCGTAGCTACTTTTAAAATAATGAATGAAATTGGCTTCTTCAACATGTTCCTTCTGTTCATTCCATTTTCTCACATAATCTCGCATTAATATCAAACTTGCTCTAACATCTCTGATTCTTCTAATTATCAAGATGTTATCCTTGTCCTTCTTTGCTGTTGGTAATTATTGTGAAAATCTCATTTTTCCATTCTGTCAGTCCCCCCTAAGTATATATATCTTTAGTGTATTATCTAGTTCAAGTATGTTTATTGAGACAGAATAAAAATACATCTCAAAGGGATAGAGTAGCTTAGGCTATTTCTACCCCCCCCCCTATTACCTAGTCTTCTCTCCATTTGGGCTGGACGGTAGAGCGACGGTCTCGCTTTATGCAGGTCGGCGTTCAATCCCCGACCGTCCACAAGTGGTTGGGTACCATTCCTTCCCCCCCGTTCCATCCCAAATCCTTATCCTGACGCCTTCCAAGTGCTATATAGTCGTAATGGCTTGGTGCTTTTCCCCTGATAATTCCTTCCTTCCCAGTCTTCTCTCCCTGTATTTACAAGAAAGAGGTTTATAAGAAAGAGGGAGGGAAGGAGAACATAAGAAAAGGAAAGCGAGGAAGAACGGGAGAGGGGAATAGAGAGAGAAACAAATGCAAAATGCAAGAAATGCAAGGAAAGAAAATGCAAGAAAAAATGCAAGAAGGCAGTAGATGACGAGGTAGCGAAGGTGGGAAAGGATATGGAAGGGTAAATGGAAGAATTGAGACAGAATGGAACAGGAACAAGGGAGGGAAGTGGTCAACGACCATGACGTCACAGACAGTGCCTCCCTGCTGACGAGAGAGAGGGAGAGGTGAGAGAGGGAGAGGTGAGAGAGGGAGAGGTGAGGGAGGGAGGGAATGGGTGGGGTTTAGTGAGGAAGGAAGTGGGGGACGTGAGAGAGAAGGGCGTGAAAGAAAGGGTATGGGAAGGGGGCGTGAGGGAGAGGGGGGTGACTGGGGGGGGGGGAAGAGTAGGGGAGGACATGAATAATGTCACTGGTCATATCACGTGACAAGTAACGGGTAACAGTGTCACTCAGTGTTAGTGGCACTCAGTGTCATATATCAGACAATAAGTGGAGTGTCATACATTGTCCTGTGTCAAAGGGTGTCAAATGTCATACATTGACAGGTAGCAGGGTACACTATACCACAGGTAGCAGATACACTGTACCACAGGTAGCAGGGTACACTGTACCACAGGTAGCAGATACACTGTACCACAGGTAGCAGATACACTGTACCACAGGTAGCAGGGTACACTGTACCACAGGTAGCAGGATACACTGTACCACAGGTAGCAGGGTACACTGTACCACAGGTAGCAGAGTACACTGTACCACAGGTAGCAGGGTACACTGTACCACAGGTAGCAGGGTACACTGTACCACAGGTAGCAGGGTACACTATACCACAGGTAGCAGATACACTGTACCACAGGTAGCAGGGTACACTGTACCACAGGTAGCAGATACACTGTACCACAGGTAGCAGATACACTGTACCACAGGTAGCAGGGTACACTGTACCACAGGTAGCAGGATACACTGTACCACAGGTAGCAGGGTACACTGTACCACAGGTAGCAGAGTACACTGTACCACAGGTAGCAGGGTACACTGTACCACAGGTAGCAGGGTACACTGTACCACAGGTAGCAGGGTACACTGTACCACAGGTAGCAGGGTACACTGTACCACAGGTAGCAGGGTACACTGTACCACAGGTAGCAGGGTACACTGTACCACAGGTAGCAGGGTACACTGTACCACAGGTAGCAGGGTACACTGTACCACAGGTAGCAGGGTACACTGTACCACAGGTAGCAGGGTACACTGTACCACAGGTAGCAGGGTACACTGTACCACAGGTAGCAGGATACACTGTACCACAGGTAGCAGGGTACACTGTACCACAGGTAGCAGGGTACACTGTACCACAGGTAGCAGGGTACACTGTACCACAGGTAGCAGGGTAGACTGTACCACAGGTAGCAGGGTACACTGTACCACAGGTAGCAGGGTACACTGTACCACAGGTAGCAGGGTACACTGTACCACAGGTAGCAGGGTACACTGTACCACAGGTAGCAGGGTACACTGTACCACAGGTAGCAGGATACACTGTACCACAGGTAGCAGGGTACACTGTACCACAGGTAGCAGGGTACACTGTACCACAGGTAGCAGGGTGTACTGTACCACAGGTAGCAGGGTACACTGTACCACAGGTAGCAGGGTACACTGTACCACAGGTAGCAGGGTACACTGTACCACAGGTAGCAGGGTACACTGTACCACAGGTGTGTGTACCAACTGCACTATACGGCTCACTAGACAACTACGCAACTACACTGTGGCTGATGAAAGCGTAAATGACCAACGAGGAACGCTAATGGTCTATTGCATACTGCATACGTATTGCAAACACTGCCAGCGTTAAATGAACAAATCCACAAGGGCCGTGACGAGGATTCGAACCTGCGTCCGGGAGCATCCCAGACACTGCCTTAATCGACTGAGCTACGACAGGGTAAACGACTATACGACATGGTCACGGCCCTTGTGGATTTGTTCATTTGATGCATCACGTTAGTGTGATCTCTGTGTGTGACTGTCAGTGTTGATCCCGTGTGTCGCGTGAGCAACTGGTGACTGGAGAGCCACGATTGTAATTGTGTTCCGTAAGCTAATGGATCGTATCGTAATATACGTTGTGTAGCCCGCTGACTTACACATGTTGGCAAACACCTGCTTTTGGTGCATGTTGCGGTGTGCAGGGTCGACTGACAGCTGCCCCGGGTCGTGCAGGTGTAGGGTAATTAGTGGAGGGGTGGTTAAGGTGGTGGGAGTGAGATGTGGCTGGTCAGATGTAAACACGTGTATGCAGTGAAGTCTCAGTAATGTGATATGTATTCGTGAGGCAATCATTGGAGCAGCCTTTACGGGCTATTCATGCCCGTGCCACCTCTTGGGTGGCTTAATCTTTATCAATCAATGAAGAAATCCACAAGAGCCGTGACGAGGATTCGAACCTCCGTCGGAGATCATCCCAGGCGCTGGGATGATCTCGGACGGAGGTTCGACTTTATCGACTGAGCTCCGACAATTTCTTTATCAATCTTTGGAGCAGAACAGAGGGATAGGGATCGAGGGATCGAGCCATCATCCCTGGGGTCATGATATGGTTCTATCCCGTCCTGCCCTCAGAGATGTCGTCGCCAACACATACGTCAATATACGCCATACTATGATCACAGGGAGCGAGCAGGTGACCTCCCATACTCAGCACCCCTCTGGTCGTACGCTGAAGCGTTTGAGCACATTAACTATCATCTTATAAGCTAGAGGAAGTAGAGCAAAGTCTTACCTTCGGAGAGCAGGTGGAGAGCTGAGACAATGGCCACGGCATTAAACATGCTGGTCGTTCGAATCCTGCTGGGCATCTTATAGCTCTGGCGAGGAGAGGAGAATATATTAGCAAGCCACATCACCCACATAAACACACATATATACACACACACACTATAGGCCTTCCCTTTAATGCTGTGTATAGGCCTACCTCGCCAGCACCCGTTCCTCCAGCACCTGGTTTGTATATACCACTTGCGAACTCTGCTCCAACTGTGTCACTATGAGGTTTGTGAAGGGGTTGAGAGCATGTTATATACACAGGTAGTGGCGGCCCTTCCCTAGGGCGTGCTAGCGCTCAGGTGTCACCATCACCACTGCCTCCAGTACAGTGTCACTGCCGGTAACACTCTGTCACACCTTCACTCACGCTGTCACTAGGGCTCAAAATTGAGATATTTCAGGTCTACAACTCGCCCGTAGCGGCGCGGTGAACGCCCCAAGCTGGGTCCTGGCCAATCAGAGCGGCGCTACCAAACACCGCCCAGGAAGGCTTCCGGCTACTGGTCGACGGAGCGCCAATGGGCGGGCTGACCATGATGGACCACCTCGTTACTCGCTGTACTCGGTATTCCGCTAAATTGTTGTTGCTTTTTTAGGTACTGCCAGGTGGGAAAGTATGGGAGGGGGACACTCTTTGGTAGGAGAGTAAAGCACCGATTTCCTTTCCATCCTGTAGAAGACAGGACACGGGTGTCACACCCAATGTTACTACCACACTCTTTGTAGCGTGACCGCCAGAGTGCCAGCCACCAGCGTGACCGCCAGAGTGCCAGCCACCAGCGTGACCGCCAGAGTGCCAGCAGGCACTCAATGCTGCTCTCTCGACTTGGCCTAACAGGCTTCGCTCTAACTCGTGACGTGTCCACTGATTGGGTGACGGATTGGGGTGGGGTGGAGTAGGGGTTATTAGGGAAAGTGTGTGTGTGTGTACTATTTGTGCGTCTGCAGAATCGTCTGCTATTAACTAATAGCTCTTGGACCCCGGCTTTTTAGCCGGTCTATTTTCCTCCGTCCACTTAGCCGCGAGGCTCTGTATGTGTGTGTGTACTCACCAAATTGTGCTTGCGGGGGTTGAGCTCTGGCTCTTTTATCCCGCCTCTCAACTGTCAATCAACTGGTGTACAGGTTCCTGAGACTACTGGGCTCTATCATATCTACATTTCAAACTGTGTAAGGAGTCACACACACACACACACACACACACACACACACTGGATCTGGATGTTAGAAAGGCTGTTGGTCCAGATGGGATCTCACCATGGAATCTGAAAGAGTGTGCAGAGGCACTTTGCTTGCCACTCTCCATAGTGTATAGTAAGTCACTGGAGACGGGAGACCTACCAGAAATATGGAAGACGGCGAATGTGGTCCCTTTATACAAAAAGAGCGACAGGCAAGAGGCACTTAACTACAGGCCAGTGTCCTTGACTTGTATACCATGTAAGGTGATGGAGAAGATCGTGAGAAAAAAACTGGTAACACATCTGGAGAGAAGGGACTTCGTGACAAATCGCCAACATGGGTTCAGGGAGGGTAAATCTTGCCTTACAGGCTTGATAGAATTCTACGATCAGGTGACAAAGATTAAGCAAGAAAGAGAGGGCTGGGCGGACTGCATTTTCTTGGATTGTCGGAAAGCCTTTGACACAGTACCGCATAAGAGGCTGGTACATAAGCTGGAGAGACAGGCAGGTGTAGCTGGTAAGGTGCTCCAGTGGATAAGGGAGTATCTAAGCAATAGGAAGCAGAGAGTTACGGTGAGGGGTGAGACCTCCGATTGGCGTGAAGTCACCAGTGGAGTCCCACAGGGCTCTGTACTCGGTCCTATCTTGTTTCTGATATATGTAAATGATCTCCCAGAGGGTATCGATTCATTTCTCTCAATGTTTGCAGACGATGCTAAAATTATGAGAAGGATTAAAACAGAAGAGGACTGTTTGAGGCTTCAAGAAGACCTAGACAAGCTGAAGGAATGGTCGAACAAATGGTTGTTAGAGTTTAACCCAACCAAATGTAATGTAATGAAGATAGGTGTAGGGAGCAGGAGGCCAGATACAAGGTATCATCTGGGAGAGGAAATTCTTCAGGAGTCAGAGAAGGAAAAAGACTTGGGGGTTGACATCACGCCAGACCTGTCTCCTGCAGCACATATCAAGCGGATAACATCAGCGGCATATGCCAGGCTGGCCAACATACGAACGGCATTCAGGAACTTGTGTAAAGAATCATTCAGAACTTTGTATACCACATATGTCAGGCCAATCCTGGAGTATGCAGCCCCAGCATGGAGTCCATATCTAGTCAAGGATAAGACTAAACTGGAAAAGGTTCAAAGGTTTGCCACCAGACTAGTACCCGAGCTGAGAGGTATGAGCTACGAGGAGAGACTACGGGAATTAAACCTCACTTCGCTGGAAGACAGAAGAGTTAGGGGGGACATGATCACCACATTCAAGATTCTGAAGGGAATTGATAGGGTAGATAAAGACAGTCTATTTAACACAAGGGGTGTGTGTGTGTGTGTGTGTGTGTGTGTGTGTGTGTGTGCGTGTGTGTGTGTGTGTGTGTGTGTGTGTGTGTGTGTGTACTCACCTATATGTACTCACCTATATGTGCTTGCAGGATCGAGCATTGACTCTTGGATCCCGCCTTTCTAGCTATCGGTTGTTTACAGCAATGACTCCTGTCCCATTTCCCTATCATACCTAGTTTTAAAAGTATGAATAGTATTTGCTTCCACAACCTGTTCCCCAAGTGCATTCCATTTTTCTACTACTCTCACGCTAAAAGAAAACTTCCTAACATCTCTGTGACTCATCTGAGTTTCCAGTTTCCACCCATGTCCCCTCGTTCTGTTATTATTACGTGTGAACATTTCATCTATTTCCACTTTGTCAATTCCCCTGAGTATTTTATATGTCCCTATCATATCTCCTCTCTCCCTTCTTTTCTCTAGTGTCGTAAGGTTCAGTTCCTTCAGCCGCTCTTCATATCCCATCCCTCGTAGCTCTGGGACAAGCCTCGTCGCAAACCTCTGAACCTTCTCCAGTTTCTTTATGTGTTTCTTCAGGTGGGGGCTCCATGATGGCGCGGCATACTCTAAGACGGGTCTCACGTAGGCAGTGTAAAGCGCCCTAAAAGCTTCCTCATTTAGGTTTCTGAATGAAGTTCTAATTTTCGCCAGTGTAGAGTACGCTGCTGTCGTTATCCTATTTATATGTGCCTCAGGAGTTAGATTAGGTGTCACATCCACTCCCAGGTCTCTTTCTCGAATCGTTACAGGTAGGCTGTTCCCCTTCATTGTGTACTGTCCCTTTGGTCTCCTGTCACCTGATCCCATTTCCATAACTTTACATTTACTGGTGTTAAACTCCAGTAGCCATTTCCCTGACCATCTCTGCAGCCTGTTTAAGTCCTCTTGGAGGATCCTACAATCCTCGTCTGTCACAACTCTTCTCATTAATTTTGCGTCATCTGCAAACATTGACATGTATGATTCCACTCCTGTAAACATATCATTTACGTAAATTAGAAAGAGGATTGGTCCCAGCACCGATCCTTGAGGTACTCCACATGTTACTGTTCGCCAGTCCGACTTTTCGCCCCTTACCATTACCCTCTGGCTCCTTCCTGTTAGGTAGTTCTTCACCCATACTAGGGCCTTTCCGCTTACTCCTGCCTGCCTCTCAAGTTTGTATAGCAGTCTCATGTGCGGTACCGTATCAAAGGCCTTTTGGCAGTCTGCCCAGCCTTCTCTGTCCTGCCTTATCCTTGTTACTTTATCATAGAATTCTAAAAGGTTTGTTAGGCATGATTTCCCTGTCCAGAACCCATGTTGGTGCTTGTTTACAAACCCAATGCTCTCCAGGTGCTCAACAAGTCTTAGCCTAATTATTCTTTCAAGTATTTTGCAGGGGATGCTTGTCAGTGATACGGGTCTGTAGTTAAGTGCCTCCTCCCTATCACCCTTTTTGAAAATCGGTACGACATTTGCCTCCTTCCAGCAACTGGGCAATTCTCCCGACATAAGTGACTCATTAAAGATCATTGCCAGACACGGTGATACTTTGTCTGGTCCAACAGCTTTATTTGCATCCAGTGTTGTCAACTGTTTCATTACATCCTCTGCTGTCACCTCTATATCCGATAGTCTTTCATCTTGGGTAATCTCTTCTAACAATGGGAGCTGCTCAGGCTCGGTTGTGAACACTCCATGGAATTTTGCATTCAGTACCTCGCAGATTTCCTTGTCGCTTTCTGTATATGCCCCTTCTGTTTTCCTCAGTCTTGTCACTTGGTCATTTACCGACATCTTCCTTCTTATATGGCTATGTAGTAATTTTGGTTGCTTTTTCGCTTTGACTGCAATATCGTTCTCATAATTCCTTTCCGACACTCGTCTTATGTTAATGTAATCATTCCTAGCTCTGTTACATCTAATCCTGTTGTCCTCTGTCCTTTGTCTTCTGTACTTCCTCCACTCCCTCCTGCTTCTCACCTTTGCTTCCTGACACTGTCTATTAAACCATGGGTTATTATATTCCCTCCTGCTTTTTTCCTTTATTGTTGGAATAAATCTATCTTCAGCCTCCTTGCATTTCAATATGACTTGGTTCATCATACCTTGCACTGTTTTTCCTCCTAAGTTCTTCATTCCCAAATCCGTTTGGGGATTCCTCGTGTGTGTGTGTGTGTGTGTGTGTGTGTGTGTGCGTGTAAATATCAGATAATGTAAACATTATCAAGTTCAACTTGCACTCAAGACTGTTGTGGGTAATTGAGAATTATTGATATTATTAACGAAATATTCTTATTTATTTCATAGTTGCTTAGAGTCTGTTTTAATCAAGGTTATGTTCGAACTGTGTCGAGTCTTTGTTTCATTGTTTACTTGTTTCAATTGCTTTTGTTCAGGCCCAGGGGACCCCCCTAGTGGGGTCACCCCCCCCCTTCGAGGGACAACACTCCGTCCTTGGTGTGTCCTTGTCCTTGTGAGTATTTCAATGGACGGATGAGGTGGAAGATATATGAATGGATATAT